GCTGTTTACGTTCAGTGGATACTCTCCAAAATGGCACCAGGGTGACGCGGAGGAGACGAATTGTTGAATAAAGTCGTTATTTTTGTTTTCTTTGCGAACAAAAAGTATTCTCGTAGCTTCGTAATATTACGGTTGAACCCCTTCAGTCCGAAGATGAACGGAGGTCTTACAGGTTTAGAACGACATGAGGGTGAGTAATTAATGACAGAATTTTCATTTTTGGGTGAACTAACCCTTTAATACACTTTCAGAAGATTTCTAATAGCGCCACCTACCGTATAACAGTGAAAACACGGAAAGCCAGAAAATTCAAAAATTCGTCAATGGCATTGAAGCGTCGTCTCATAAATGATGGCAAATTCTGTCAATGGTGGGGAAAGAGTTAAACAGTGTATAAACGGACCATCTTTAAGAGCAAATGCTAAATATAAAAAATAAATCAAAAAAGGTCTGAACATTTATTTTACATTTTTGAAGGTGAAGTATATATACTGAATACTGAATTGATTTTTCAAATAGTGTTCAAAATAGGTAAAAATAATGTTACATTCAAAACATGTTATATTTTCTATAATTGCTATAAGACACCGACATTCTGTTCGGTGCTGTATTATGGTGCTCTGTGGCAACAATGATAATGCCAAAATTAATCTGTGCAATTTCTGTAGTCAGTAGACAACTGCAACACAACAATAACAGACGTTATGCTTAATAAACTTGTATTGTCCCATTGTTGATCAGTGGCTGAAATACATTTTACTTGTGAAGTCGCTGCCATTTAAAATTTTTCCATATGTTGTTGCAGAGGTCAGGTATTGCAGGTGGCAGCTCTCGGAAATTCCTGAGTTTACAAGTAGTAATTACGGGTTGTACAAAGGTTTCATGAACACAAATCTTGTCTGCCATTGGTCAAACAAACAGATAGTCCCACCCCAAACTAATTCCATTGGTTGAGCCAGTGTTGCAATATCAAGTTGCTCAAACAAACAAAGAGCAATGTTTTGATAGCCCTGGACAATCAAACTTTAGCTTTATATGACTGAACTATATGTATTGTGTTGCAGGCTCTGGCTCACAAGACATCAGAAATGTCATTCCATTCAGTGGGAGAGGGTTTATTCTTGGAGGGAACACACAGACTTCCACGGACAAGCAGAGTCAGAGTCTTCCTAAAGCTCAATCCGAACCTCTCGCCTCTCCTCCTGACTCACCGCTTCTTCCAAGACTACAGCCCATCGAGGCAAACTCGTTCAAAAGAGTCAGCTCAGGTGTATCGAATGTTCCCCGCAGAAAGTCTGTTAGTAACACTAATGCCTTCATCAACGTCAATGGCTCACCTGTGAGAATTGCCAAAGTCAATGACTTAAGAGGCAAGCAGAGGTCGGTACGAGATCTCTTCCAGGCCATAGTCCTCAAATCTCCAGAGAGAGCAGCCAATGCGGCTGGTTCCTCCAAGCCTGCTACTGATGCCTCAACAGCAAACCCTGCTAAATGCAATGGACCATCTTCGTCTAGTGCCTTAGACGGGCAAACTAGCCTGATCAATAACCATCATTCATACAGTGCCACAGTGCCAAAGCCTACCTCAATAGAGTCGCATCTCTCCAAATATTCCGGAAGCAGTGCTCAAAGTTCGAAATTCCAAGATTTGGGAAGCCCCCAAAAGTCTGCAACTGGCACACCGGGTTACTTTTCTAAGCTCTTCGGAAGTAACCAAAAACTAGGATCAGATGCTACGAGCTCGGGATTCCGAAACACTGGCAGTCCCCAAAGTTCACGTACTTCAACAACTACTTCAGCGTCCAGTTCTAAGCACTTTGGAGGCTCCGAAAAGCCTGCATCCAACTTTCCAAGCCCTAGAAGCTTTGGCAGCCCCCGGACATCAGGGACGATGCCTTCAGGAGCCAAGAAGAGATCGTGGGAAGAGCATAAATCTGAACATATCTTTGATTACTTCCAGCGGACAAATGACAAGTCCGCCACGTCCACAGTGCAGCAGAGAGAGGAGGTGGAAGACACGGGTCTGCCTGCAGTCAGGGATCAGCAAGCAAACAATCCTCCGATCCAGATCACCGTCCACTGCCCCGTGTGCCACGTCAAAGTACCTGAATCCACAATTAATGAGCATCTGGATTCCTGTCTGTCATAGTCACTGAAAGGAAGGCCATAGGGCTTTAGTAAAGCTAGGAGAGGTGTTTACTATGATATTCATATTTCAGGTATAGCTTCGAATAGAAAGATAAAAAAGAATTATGTCATAGTGGTGAGATATTGTAATTCCAATGCAATAGCTATAAGCGATAGTTAAAATAAATGTATAAGTTATTGGTAGCACAATACCCTAAAAAGCGTGCCACACTTCCTTTTGTACTTTTGTGCAGTTACTGACTTAATCTACCTCGGTTTTGTAACAAGAGCATTTGCATCATGGGAAGAATGTTGGGCGCGATTGACAGCTTAGATGAAACTGAGTGAGTGGTTTAAAGAGGCGTCACTTACTGTCCTTGATGTCCGCGGTTCATGTCGAATCAGCAGTACTGAATTTCGCACGCGTTTGGCTGTCCGCTGTGGGATTTAGATGTGCTTAGCTTTCTGCCGGTTCAGGTTTTGCAAGGTTGCTTACATCTCGGTGTCATCAATAACAGCTCTGTCAGGTTGACCATGATTGGGGACGGAGCTTGTGCCACCTTCTGCATAATAATTTCACATCTACTTTGTGCCCTAGAGGAATGCACACGTTCAAAAACTAACCCCACCCAGAAGTGAATATTGGGTGTGCAGGTTAAAACCTCCTGATATGATGATATATAGTTAAGTCACGAGTATTGTTGTGTTTCAGATCTAGAGACCCCACCTTAGAAGGAAACAATGCCTGATGACGAGTTCACGCTGCTCAGGTTACCTGTAGAACACGCAGATGTTACTTTTGGCGTGGTTCACTTATAGGCCCGTGAGCGTAACATTGATTTACCTTCGTAAAAAGAGGCAGGACGCATTGATTTGTTTAGTGTTTGAGGTGCTGCAGGCGTCTGTGATGTCATTCGTAATGTATGCATGCCGTTTTAACATGCACTACAAGTTCTCGAGGCAAACCGTGCTGTTAATGCATCATTCTCTGTTGGGAGCGAAACTTTGCACAATTTATTGTTGGCCAATTTAGGGTAAAATTGTTTGTTTTAAAATGGTTTTATATTGATACTCTGTTTTAAGATAAAAGTGAGAATTTTATTAAGTGGTTATAAATGTTTGTATGTTTTAAGTGGATTTTCTATCATGTTTTAAAACCTCAGAATTGTGCCTGATTAATTTTTTTGCCATGTTGCCTGTAGTAGTTGTAGTTAACTTTGTTGAAATAAATGTTCTATTAAGTATTTCGGTAGCCCTTTGTCTTTGTGAAACGCTCTTTTGTTTACATATTTTCACTGAGTTTTACATGTGGATAATTCTGATACCTTTTTAACTCTGTAACATTTTTAAAATGAATATGCTTGTTTGTAATTTTAAGGAAGTATCGTTTCAGAATAAAGTAGACTCGGGATTCCATTCACACAAAATGTGTCGGGGAAAAAAAAAAATTGGTCGAATCTATTCGAAAGTTTGGAAGGAACTTAATGTTCATATCGAAAGATTTGAACATGCCTATGATGCCCAAAATGTTTGATTCGACTGTTCGCAAGTAGTCTGTAATGCCCAAAAATGTTCACTTCGAATCATTTGTCTCTTGACGAAGTTGAATTAATTTGAACTTGAGTACCGTATTTTTAAAATGCCGTGTCATGCGTGAGATGCTGCAAAAAGAGCAATAGAAAAGTGAAGTGCAGTGGTAGTAAACTGAAAAAAACACAAAAGATATGTTGAACTTCTTTTAACTTGAGCACTGCGGTTTTTTTTGATGCTGCGAAAGACTTGAGTGATAAACGTCTATCTAGCATGTGTTGACAGAAAAACAATGGAAAAGCAGCACAGCGGAATAAAAATGCATTCTGTGTGAATGGCCCCTTACAAAATATGTTGAGGTCAAGCTAAATTTCATTTAATTGTGTTAACAATTTAACAGGATTGAAATAAGAGCTGAAGTTTTAAAAGATTAAGCACCGACTGATTTGGGTCATTATATCAAACAGGATTGAATGTTTTAGAGTAACACAAACCAACTAATAGCTACCACAAAAAAAATCACACACAGCTGTCTGTACTGTTATTTTTCTCCAAAAATTGTCACTTCCTGGAGGGTGATTGAAAACTGAAAAGTTGTATTTAATATTGGACCCATTATATTATACATATGATGATGACATGAAAACATACTGTAAATGGATCTTAGCCAAATGTACCCAAGCAGAATATCATAGGCGTGTCATATTCATCAAAATGCGCGTTTTGTGTTGATACAGTACAGAACAGAAAAATGACATAAGAGCCAGTAAAAAGTGAATTGTTTGGGTCTTACATTGTATTGTTTTTTTTTACATGACACAATGTCCTCATGGTCAGATCTTTATCCTACTGCACTGTTCTCAAGAGTCTCCAACACCGATAACAGTTTCAACCATATTGTGGATTTCATTTTTTGTGTTCATTGTGTATATGTAGTTCATTGGTTGGTAAAGGAGGCCGTGAAGTTTAGCAGCTTTGTCTTTGTGTGTGCACATGCAGCTGTCTTTGTAATGGCCTCATGTCAGTGCTTTGTGTCCAGCTGCAGCTGGGTGTGTGTGTGTGTGTCAGAGGGGCGGGTCGGTGCTGCTCGTGCTCACCATCTGCCCGCTGCTGACACCTTTGTTCCGTGTCGGGATTCCGGCCCTGACCTCACCCTGAGTCAGTTCATCTGGCCATTTCCTGCCAATGTGCTCTCAAGCTGCCATTAGAGGACTGTGATCTGGATTTAACCCAGTAATCAAAATACCAATGCTAAATTACAATATAACATCAGAGATGCAACACATTTGTATTTATAAAAGTATGTATATGTTTTTTAACACTTTTTTTAAAGTGAATTTATTTTAAGTACGTTTATATACAAATATACTTAAAATATACACATATTTTTAACAATTTTTGAGAGCCGATTGCAAAATCTTTATTATTTATTTATTCAAACTACATTCATTCATCTTTTATGTTATGTATTTTATTTATTTTTTTATTATAATTTTGTTTTTCTTCAAATTATGTATATATTTTTTTAAACCGGTCATTACCAAAACCAAGTACAGATTTGAGTACAGATTACAACATCTTTGGGTTTTTATTTATTAATTTATTTTGACATTTATTTATGCGTTATTTTACTTTTTTCTAAAATTTTGTTTTGTTTTTAACAGGTCAGTAGCAAATCCAAATATTATACATGTGATGAAAATGTAGGTTACCAGACAGAAGCTTGGTCTGTGCTTTGATCAGATTAAATTTTGATTTAAATATTTTAAGTGTGTGTGTGTGTGTGTGTGTGTGAGTGTGTGTGTGTGTGAGTGTAGCTGACCAGACAAGTGTGTGTGTGTGCTTGTGTGTTGTTGTTTTTCTTAAAATGAAAGTTTTTTGTTTGTTTGTTTGTTTTCCAAAGAGGTCTGTAGCAAATCCAAATAATATTATGTATATTTAAAAAATAATAATAAATAAATTTGAGAACAGATTGCAAAATCTCTGGTCTTTTATTTATGTATTCATTCATTTACGTGTTATTTACATATTTATTTATTTACTTTGATTATTTTATTTTATTATTTTGTTTTTCCTAAAATTACTGTTTTTTTTTGTTTGTTTGTTTTTCAAACAGGTCAGTAGCAAGTCCAAATAATGTCATACATCTGATGAAAATGTAGGTTACCAGACAATAGCTCTGGCTGCGCTTTGATCGAAAGAAAACATTAATTCAGAACTTAATTCTCATGAATATTCAATGACCTCGCTCTCCGTCATCGGCGGCCACGCCCAGTCTGCTCTGGGTCTCTTTAAAGCGACAGGAAGTGCGAGTTCCAGCCTCAGATTATAGTGTTGTTCGGAGCGGTGGCTGTTACATGGGTTTTTCGACGTCAGGGTGTAAAGGTCTTTAAGAAAATTATCACATGCCGTTACTGTACACTCGTCTGTGACCAGAGCGTGCTATTTGTGAATGTTAGTATGAATGGTAAGGTTGGGAATGGAGCAGCGGGCGGTGTGCTGGCCTGTATTGAGGGTCTGCCGCCACTGCCCAAGAGCCTGAGCGGACTGCTGAACTCCAGCGGCGGCTCGTGGAGAGAGATGGAGAGGATGTATGTGAAGAAGACCATGATTCAGGACGACTTGAGCCGAGGAAGGAATAACACGGACAATCTGCTGGCGAATAAACCAGCAAACCTGGATGCCGCCCTTGCTTTGCTCAGAAAAGAGATGGTAAGGGTACAGAATAGTAAGCAACCGCTGTTCTCCCGACTGCAGGCGTTCATTTACCTTGTCAGTGCCTGTGTTTTAAAGCCTAGTGACCTTCCTATCTAGTCAATATGTTTGGACAGCGTAGTCACGAATAGAACTTTTTTGGGACGCGAATCGATTCGAAAGTTCGGAAGGAACTTAATGGTCATATGAGAGGAATTGAACGCGCCTGTGATGCTCAGATTGATCGATTCGAATGTTCGCAACTAGTCTGTAATGCCCCAAACTGTTCGCTTCGAATACTTTGAACCTGACTGTGATCCTGGAAAATGTCTGATTTGATTTGATTTTTAATACTCGTGATTCCCAGCGATATTCGATTCGTATGTTCTGATTATTTTTTGAACACCCCTTTGATTCCCATTAGAATCTTCCGATTGCGCAAGTGATGAACAAATGTCTGTGATGCCCAAAATATCCCATTCACATGTTTTGAATGTACTAGTGATGGCCAAAATGCTAGTTTGTGATGCACAAAAATGTTCACCTCAGATTTGTTTGAACGTAACTGTAATCCTAAGTGATTAATTTTAATGTTATAATGCTCCTTTAGTCCACCGGTCGAACAATGTTCGATTCGAATTTCTTTTTTTTTTTTCAGTCTCACCTGTGATGAACAAAATTGTTCAGTTTCGTACATTCGTAACCTAGCGGTGATGCCCAAAAATCTTTGCTTTGAATGGTTTGAAAGTGAACCTGATCTTCAATTTTTATTTATTTATTTATTTTTAATTTTTGAAACACTTCTGATTCTCTACAGTATTCGATTCAAATGTTCCGACTGATGAACAAAAAATGTTCGCTGCTTATGTTCGATTTCAGTGTTCGCTTCATGCATTCGAAACTCGCCTGTGATGGCCACAGATGATCGCTTCAGATGTTTTCAACGCGACCGTGATCCGCAAAAAATGTTCGATTTGAGTGTTCGGTTCATATATTCAGAACTACTCTGTGTTGCCCAAAAATGTTCAGTTTGAATGTGTTGAACAAAAATGTTTGTTTCCTACATTCCTATCTTATCTGTGATGCTCGGCTTAAACATTTAAAAACGACAGGTTCTGTTTGAATCTATTTTTGAGAATATTTGTGCATTACCTTTTGCTGTAACATACAATATCAGAACAAAGCTAAACCTAAAGAACATAAGGTTTGGAATGCAAACACAAAATATCCATTATTTGACTAAATACCACAGATTGATTTCAGAGTAAATGTTTTGGGTCACTTTGTTCTAATGTGCAATGAGTTGTCCCTTTGATGTTTCCATAAGCACTCATTAGAGTTTGTTTGCGCAGGTGGGTTTGCGGCAGCAGGACATGTCCCTGCTCTGTCAGCTCTGGTCCCTTCACGAGTCCATCCAGGAGTACAAGGGCAGCTGCCAGGACCTCTCCGCTGTGACCGGTGCGGATGGACCCTACGGGATGGAGAACGGTTATTTTGATGAAGATGAGGAATATTATACTGAGTCCGGTATGACGCCAGCCGAAACGCCAGATGGAAACGATACATCTCCTAAAACCGGGACATCCAAAGACAGCTGGATACATGACTCGTTCCATATCACAATATAAAACACTTGACTTTTTTTCTTTAATGAAAACAAGCTGTGCCATAATTTAGTTTGCTGGCATTATATAGTTTTACAGCAGACTCTATAGTAAATATAATTGAGAATTATTATTTATTGTATAATATACTACATAGTATTTTGTTTTCCTGATTTAATCAACATTGGAAATTTTATACGGTTTTTTTTTGTTGTTTTTTTTAGTAAGGGTAGAAGCATATTATTTCGTAATGATGTTTACAGTAAATCATGTTAAACTTGTGCTGATGAATTTATAGACATTCACCCCTCTGAATTCATAAAAGTCTTATTTCTCGTTGAGCAATCGCTCGCTGGGTGCTTGCAGAAGACAGGGTTTTGTTTTTACTGAAAATATGTATTCCGAGTATGCTGGAAATGCTACCTATTCTTTGCTGAAATGTAATCCAGGGTATAACCAGCACAAAGAGCTTGAAACAGCATCACCAAAACAAAACGCAATGTCCCAGTTTACTCATTGCATTATGTATTGTGTAACTCAATATGAACATACTGTATAAGTAAGTAAATCGATAACCAGCTCCATAACATTTCCGTAGCATTTCCCTCCCACCTTATGTAAACCTGTTCTAGATCATGTATTGTAGATGTTTTATTTATTTACTTACAGTATAATTGCTGCTTGAATTCAGTCTTCCGTTGTGCTTGAACTTCTTCTCAGTGCATATCATGTCTGTTTTTGCTCAAATGTCAAGTGACTCACATAAGGTTGCCTGTATTCATAATGTGAGATAATAAACTTGGTTTTTGCAAGTACAAATGGCCATCAAATCCACTAAAAAGATTGTGTATGCAAATCATAGCATGCCATAATGTACGCATTTTATACAGTATAACCTATTCTCTTGATGTGTTGGTGAATTGAATGCCTGGATTTGCACCGTTATGGATCATCAAATACTGACGAGAACTGATAATCATCAGAGTGTTTCTACTACAAGAATATTAATCTCAGCAGGGAGAGAATCTCTTCTACCTCTTGTGTGTTTGAGCTCTGAAATCTTTTTTTCTCACACTAGCAGATCTTTTTTAATTCCCAGCATTTATAGAAGTCCCGATTCGATTTTAACACTCTTTTACAATTTATAACCTTCTTATTTGGTTCAATTCTGAGAGCAAAATAAAAAAAAAAAGGGGGAACTTGATATGCAAACAGCAAGGCTTTAGGTGCTTTGACCAAATCAGCACTGAACTTCACACTTTGTGCCTTGACACACCTCTCAGCTTTGAATCCAAGTGTTTTTGCCATCTCCGGCCCTCTGTAATCACACTATTTCATATCTACATCCAGCATCTTCATGCATCCATTTCAATCCCTCTTATTAACAAGAAAGTTCCACCCAGAAAATGTCTCCTCTCCACCCATCTCATTATCTTCTACCCTGCGGTGATTTATTGCGCTGATCCTGCATGGAAATTCCCACTCCAGTTTCGTAATTTGCATAGAAGTCAGTAAAAGTACTTTTTGGTCCGGTTGATCTCTGTGGTTGGTTGTGAAATGATTTCTGCAGTTGTTTTGCATACAAAGATGCTACATTATCTGGTTCGATGGCGTTTGTGTGTTCGACTTGTTTTTGGTCAATCTGTTCTTGAATGTTTTTCAAAATTGTCAAATGTTTTTAAGCACGAAACAGTGCATTTATGAGATTTGAACTGATTGAATTGATAAAGGAATGATCCTTTTGTATATTTTATTGTGTGTGTTAGCGATGCAAAATAAATATAATGTATGGTCCATCTGTTTTTTTTATGTCACTTTAGAATTTTAGTGTTCAGATTCTTTATTCAATGTAAGTAAATATCTTTATTTATTTAAAAAAATATATTGGAGCAAAATGTAGGCTTTCCACAATAAGCATTTCAGACTGTATGCATTGTTGTCACATGACCTTTTTTGCTTAATTCCAGTAGTTTATTTAGCATTTTTAATGCAGTTTTATATATATATACAAAAAAAAAAATCCTAAAAAATAGTCCTGTCAAATAATGAATGTAGTTGATACTACTTCAGTTTCATCCATCATACTGGAAATAGAACGTCAAGTTCATTGAATTGTGGGATACAATATTTCACACATTTACATCTTTTTTTTTTTTACTGCTCATTTTGACAAATGTAGTATAGGACATCTAATGAATCTATTTTGTATATGCAGAAAATATGCACACTTTGCACAGTATGCATATTATTAAGTTGGAACAGCACACTATTGCTGCAGTATTTAGTATGTATACTGTGCACAGTATGCAAATGTTATGCATTTCATATCAGCCTGACCTACATGTGCCAAAATCAGCAGCACACAAGAGCTTACTGTGTGAAATATCCAATAATGCAACGCACTCAATTTAAAATTACATCTCCTTTTTGATGTATTATTTGACCATCCTGCCTAACTTGATTCCTCTCGGTAAATTAAACAGGGTCAGGTGTTGACAGTGTATACTGTGCCGTATTCTGTAAGTACTGAGATATTGTAGTATTCTGTTCTAAACACAGCCAACACAATCACATGGCATTTTGTAACTACATTACATTTTGGCAAATTGTTGGCTAATTCATATGAATTTGTACCATCTCATTTGTATCTTGAATACAAGATACTCGTCTGATCTGAACAGAGCCAGAGATGCTCTGCTTTATGTTTGAATAATGTCCAGCACTAATTGGCCTATAACTAATGGGCAGAACACTGAGTCCTTGCCCTGATCTGCCAGGAACAAACTGATAATGGGATTATAAATCACAAATTGATGCCGTATATTGAGGAGATGTATAACAGCCATGAGTGTTTTGAGCACAGCTGTAGGCCACTGATGATATTATGATATTCCACTGCTCACAGGTGTAACCGTACTGTCTTTAACTTGATATCTCAGTACATTTAATAGGATTGCGTCAATACTGACGCACTATTATACACTGTCCTTTAGCGAAAGGGAGGCTAGATGTTGTTTGCTGTGCACTAAATCTCTAAATCTAAATCCACACCTCTGAGTTTGGGCCTAAGCACCTGTTCAGGAGATTGAGCTGGATTACTGTAATCTTTATTGAATGTGTCCGCGTCACATGACCAGGGATTTTCCGACAGAGACCGTGGTAAAGAAGCCATTACATCTGAAGACATACAGTATACATATGAAGACAATTCAAGAATTTAAAAAGGATGGTTCGCCCAAAAATAAAAAATTCTGTCATCATTTATATAAATAAAAGCTGTAATATTGATAAAAACTATAATAAAAAAAATTAAAACTATAAAAGAACACTGTCATGTAGTGAATGTCATGTAATGAAACCTAAAAGAGATTTCTATTCCTCCATTGAAAGTCCATTCCACTAAAACGTTCAAGCTTTAAAAAGTTCACAGATGATCGCTTCAGATGTTTTCAACGCGACCGTGATCCGCAAAAAATGTTCGATTTGAGTGTTCGGTTCATATATTCAGAACTACTCTGTGTTGCCCAAAAATGTTCAGTTTGAATGTGTTGAACAAAAATGTTTGTTTCCTACATTCCTATCTTATCTGTGATGCTCGGCTTAAACATTTAAAAACGACAGGTTCTGTTTGAATCTATTTTTGAGAATATTTGTGCATTACCTTTTGCTGTAACATACAATATCAGAACAAAGCTAAACCTAAAGAACATAAGGTTTGGAATGCAAACACAGAATATGCATTGTGTGAGTAAACGCCACAGATCGATTTCAAAGTAAATGTTTGGTTTTTGAGTCACTTTTGTTCTAGCGTGCAATGTGTTGTCCCTTTGATGTTTCCATAAGCACTCATTAGAGTTTGTTTGCGCAGGTGGGTTTGCGGCAGCAGGACATGTCCCTGCTCTGTCAGCTCTGGTCCCTTCACGAGTCCATCCAGGAGTACAAGGGCAGCTGCCAGGACCTCTCCGCTGTGACCGGTGCGGATGGACCCTACGGGATGGAGAACGGTTATTTTGATGAAGATGAGGAATATTATACTGAGTCCGGTATGACGCCAGCCGAAACGCCAGATGGAAACGATACATCTCCTAAAACCGGGACATCCAAAGACAGCTGGATACATGACTCGTTCCATATCACAATATAAAACACTTGACTTTTTTTCTTTAATGAAAACAAGCTGTGCCATAATTTAGTTTGCTGGCATTATATAGTTTTACAGCAGACTCTATAGTAAATATAATTGAGAATTATTATTTATTGTATAATATACTACATAGTATTTTGTTTTCCTGATTTAATCAACATTGGAAATTTTATACGGTTTTTTTTTGTTGTTTTTTTTAGTAAGGGTAGAAGCATATTATTTCGTAATGATGTTTACAGTAAATCATGTTAAACTTGTGCTGATGAATTTATAGACATTCACCCCTCTGAATTCATAAAAGTCTTATTTCTCGTTGAGCAATCGCTCGCTGGGTGCTTGCAGAAGACAGGGTTTTGTTTTTACTGAAAATATGTATTCCGAGTATGCTGGAAATGCTACCTATTCTTTGCTGAAATGTAATCCAGGGTATAACCAGCACAAAGAGCTTGAAACAGCATCACCAAAACAAAACGCAATGTCCCAGTTTACTCATTGCATTATGTATTGTGTAACTCAATATGAACATACTGTATAAGTAAGTAAATCGATAACCAGCTCCATAACATTTCCGTAGCATTTCCCTCCCACCTTATGTAAACCTGTTCTAGATCATGTATTGTAGATGTTTTATTTATTTACTTACAGTATAATTGCTGCTTGAATTCAGTCTTCCGTTGTGCTTGAACTTCTTCTCAGTGCATATCATGTCTGTTTTTGCTCAAATGTCAAGTGACTCACATAAGGTTGCCTGTATTCATAATGTGAGATAATAAACTTGGTTTTTGCAAGTACAAATGGCCATCAAATCCACTAAAAAGATTGTGTATGCAAATCATAGCATGCCATAATGTACGCATTTTATACAGTATAACCTATTCTCTTGATGTGTTGGTGAATTGAATGCCTGGATTTGCACCGTTATGGATCATCAAATACTGACGAGAACTGATAATCATCAGAGTGTTTCTACTACAAGAATATTAATCTCAGCAGGGAGAGAATCTCTTCTACCTCTTGTGTGTTTGAGCTCTGAAATCTTTTTTTCTCACACTAGCAGATCTTTTTTAATTCCCAGCATTTATAGAAGTCCCGATTCGATTTTAACACTCTTTTACAATTTATAACCTTCTTATTTGGTTCAATTCTGAGAGCAAAATAAAAAAAAAAAGGGGGAACTTGATATGCAAACAGCAAGGCTTTAGGTGCTTTGACCAAATCAGCACTGAACTTCACACTTTGTGCCTTGACACACCTCTCAGCTTTGAATCCAAGTGTTTTTGCCATCTCCGGCCCTCTGTAATCACACTATTTCATATCTACATCCAGCATCTTCATGCATCCATTTCAATCCCTCTTATTAACAAGAAAGTTCCACCCAGAAAATGTCTCCTCTCCACCCATCTCATTATCTTCTACCCTGCGGTGATTTATTGCGCTGATCCTGCACGGAAATTCCCACTCCAGTTTCGTAATTTGCATAGAAGTCAGTAAAAGTACTTTTTGGTCCGGTTGATCTCTGTGGTTGGTTGTGAAATGATTTCTGCAGTTGTTTTGCATACAAAGATGCTACATTATCTGGTTCGATGGCGTTTGTGTGTTCGACTTGTTTTTGGTCAATCTGTTCTTGAATGTTTTTCAAAATTGTCAAATGTTTTTAAGCACGAAACAGTGCATTTATGAGATTTGAACTGATTGAATTGATAAAGGAATGATCCTTTTGTATATTTTATTGTGTGTGTTAGCGATGCAAAATAAATATAATGTATGGTCCATCTGTTTTTTTTATGTCACTTTAGAATTTTAGTGTTCAGATTCTTTATTCAATGTAAGTAAATATCTTTATTTATTTAAAAAAATATATTGGAGCAAAATGTAGGCTTTCCACAATAAGCATTTCAGACTGTATGCATTGTTGTCACATGACCTTTTTTGCTTAATTCCAGTAGTTTATTTAGCATTTTTAATGCAGTTTTATATATATATACAAAAAAAAAAATCCTAAAAAATAGTCCTGTCAAATAATGAATGTAGTTGATACTACTTCAGTTTCATCCATCATACTGGAAATAGAACGTCAAGTTCATTGAATTGTGGGATACAATATTTCACACATTTACATCTTTTTTTTTTTTACTGCTCATTTTGACAAATGTAGTATAGGACATCTAATGAATCTATTTTGTATATGCAGAAAATATGCACACTTTGCACAGTATGCATATTATTAAGTTGGAACAGCACACTATTGCTGCAGTATTTAGTATGTATACTGTGCACAGTATGCAAATGTTATGCATTTCATATCAGCCTGACCTACATGTGCCAAAATCAGCAGCACACAAGAGCTTACTGTGTGAAATATCCAATAATGCAACGCACTCAATTTAAAATTACATCTCCTTTTTGATGTATTATTTGACCATCCTGCCTAACTTGATTCCTCTCGGTAAATTAAACAGGGTCAGGTGTTGACAGTGTATACTGTGCCGTATTCTGTAAGTACTGAGATATTGTAGTATTCTGTTCTAAACACAGCCAACACAATCACATGGCATTTTGTAACTACATTACATTTTGGCAAATTGTTGGCTAATTCATATGAATTTGTACCATCTCATTTGTATCTTGAATACAAGATACTCGTCTGATCTGAACAGAGCCAGAGATGCTCTGCTTTATGTTTGAATAATGTCCAGCACTAATTGGCCTATAACTAATGGGCAGAACACTGAGTCCTTGCCCTGATCTGCCAGGAACAAACTGATAATGGGATTATAAATCACAAATTGATGCCGTATATTGAGGAGATGTATAACAGCCATGAGTGTTTTGAGCACAGCTGTAGGCCACTGATGATATTATGATATTCCACTGCTCACAGGTGTAACCGTACTGTCTTTAACTTGATATCTCAGTACATTTAATAGGATTGCGTCAATACTGACGCACTATTATACACTGTCCTTTAGCGAAAGGGAGGCTAGATGTTGTTTGCTGTGCACTAAATCTCTAAATCTAAATCCACACCTCTGAGTTTGGGCCTAAGCACCTGTTCAGGAGATTGAGCTGGATTACTGTAATCTTTATTGAATGTGTCCGCGTCACATGACCAGGGATTTTCCGACAGAGACCGTGGTAAAGAAGCCATTACATCTGAAGACATACAGTATACATATGAAGACAATTCAAGAATTTAAAAAGGATGGTTCGCCCAAAAATAAAAAAATTCTGTCATCATTTATATAAATAAAAGCTGTAATATTGATAAAAACTATAATAAAAAAAATTAAAACTATAAAAGAACACTGTCATGTAGTGAATGTCATGTAATGAAACCTAAAAGAGATTTCTATTCCTCCATTGAAAGTCCATTCCACTAAAACGTTCAAGCTTTAAAAAGTTCGTGAGAGTAATCCATACGAATCAAGAGATTTAATTACATGCTTCTGACTCTGAGAAACAATCCAGGATTATTAAAGTTGAACTAAAGCCATAAAACATGTTCATGAAGCTCTTGAAGTAAAGTAAATGTTTACTAAAATAAATAATCCTTCTTATATTGTCCCTAAAGCATTAAGGGGTCTCTCTTGACATGTTTGAGCTGACCTTTGCCCTCGGCCTATCCCCTTCTTAAAGCAATATTAGGGTTCAGAGCTGTTCATAACTCACTGGGTTTACTTGACAGTATGTTGTAATGGCCACTACATGACAGTGTTCTTTTATAATTTTTATTTTTAATTATAGTTTTTATCAATATTATACACTCTAAAAAATGCTGGGTTAAATACAACCCAGTCCTGGTTAAAATAGGGACAAACCCAGCAATTGGGTTGTTTTGACCCAGCGGTTGGGTTAAATGTTTAACCCAACCTTTTGGGTAGTAACCCAACCGCTGGGTCAAAACAACCCAATTGCTGGGTTTGTCCCTATTTTACCCAGCACTGGGTTGTATTTAACCCAGCATTTTTTAGAGTGTAGCTTTTTTTCTTTGTATTTCCTGTTTTATTTTAATTTTAGTTAAAGTTTTAGTCATTTGATTGTTGTTGTTGTTGTTTTGTCATTTTTATTATTTATTTATTATAATTGTCTGTATAGTTACATTTTTTATTTCACTTTTTTTAGCTTTTAGTTACACTCTAAAGATCTTTCAAGCTGTTTAATGGCACTCAGCTGGTGTTGCATGCATCAGTCCAAAAGAAGTTAAATAAAAAGCGCCCATCCATAAAAAAAGTGTCTCACACGGCTCCGGTGGGGTGGGGTGCGGGGGGGGTTGAACAAAGTCCATCTGTAGCGAATCGATGTGTTTTTGTAAGAAAATATCCATATTGAAAACGTAATAATCACTTTCATGTAGCTTGCGCTCACCATTGTACAAGCAAGAAGGTGGATGACGTATGAGTTAAGTGTTGCGCATGCGCCGGTCTCGTGAAAAACTTTTTTTATGGATGGGCGCTTTTTATTTCACTTCTTTTGGACTGATGCATGCAACACCCGCTGAGTGCCATTAAACAGCTTGAAAGAGCAAAGACAATTTTTAATATAACTCCGACTGGATTCATCTGAAAGAAGAAAGTCATATACACCTAGGATGACTTGAGGGGGAGTAATTTATGGGCTAATTTTCATTTTTGGGTTAACTAACCCTTTAATGTCATCCTACAGTTGTTGAGTGACATTGGAATAAGTTGGTGGTCATCCCGGTCAGTGGAGAGTGGTTTTTGCCCTCTGTTGGTCTGTAGCTTTGTTGTCCCCAATGTCTGCAGCTTGACCTTGTTCTTATGAACTGCTGTCTTTGAAATGTTAAGGATGGAAGCAACCGGACACTCACCGTATTCCTCTGCCAGCTTCTTTTCCTCACTCAAAACTTTTCTTTTTAACTCTTGGTTGACATGGTCAATAGTTATTATTTGATTCCAATTACTTTTGAGGCACTACTAGCACTGTTTTTGCCATCCAGATGGTCGTATTGCTAGAGGATAGTGATTCAAAATCAAATATCTAAAGTATTTAAGACCTAATTTACTTGTGTATTTTAGCATGAACGGAATGGTATTGACCTACCATCTATACAATCATTTTTATATCATTGGGAAGTAGGCTACCGTAGCATTATTTTAACTTTTTTAACTTGTACTCTCTACTAAAAATGATGTTGAATTTATGCTAAATATACCCTGATAGCATCTGAAAAACATAATACAAGAGGCTACAGTATTCAAAGAATGACTTTTAAACAGTGAATACCAATACCACACGGAATCAAGCATAGCCTATAACCACAATCCCCTTCAGCTAAACCGTTACAAAACATTCAGTTTCACAAAGAAGTGCAAGATTTATTCCCTGAGTTTCTTCAGAACAAGTTGTACAAGTTCATACTGAAGGCCCACACTTCACATTTATGTAACAGGGATAAATTACATCAGCAAGAAAGTCCATACATAAACCATCCAATATAAATCAGACGCCATTCAGATCATTACAGTAAGTGAACATATCGTGTCGACACAAGTCCACAGGCATCTGTAGTACATCTGCGTCAACATCTTCTCTCAGCAGAGCTAATGGAGGAATTTGACAGATGACCTCAGGAATGTGAAGCTGCGCCTTCAAAGTCTTTATAAACACACAGGATTTTGTGAAAATTGTATAGACCCAAACTAGTTGTTCTGTGTGAGGAGAATTCACAAGTGAAGACAAATTACTGGTCTTAAACGGTGTTAACTTAGTAAAACCAGACATATTTGCATGAAAAGAAAAAGAAAAAACTCATAACCATGTGGTAACCATAGTAAAGCTAAACAATTTGCTCTCTACGACCTCATTTACTTTCACTTGGCATTGCCACCGAATTCCTTTGTACAGGACATCTTGATCAAACAACATCTCTGAAGTAATGACAAGCATGTCTCTACATTCACATCTGAGGTTTTACACGGCAATCAGTTTCAGAAATCAAACTTTCTTCGCTGACAGCAAGGAAGACTTGAATCATTCATGAAGAAAGTTTTGCATCAATTCATAGAGCATCCATTTATCTTTAGATGGGACAGTTTGATATTTACCGTCAAAGGTTTGAGATGATCCTGAGGTTTCAGATTCCTAGATTCTTCTAGTCTAGAGCATTGACAGATAGTCTTGTGAACAGACCTGCAGTGTTTTTAAAGCCTGGGCAACCCACGTCTCTAACAGCAAGCCACCACACACCGCCAGGAGAGACAGTCGCCGACTGCAGTTCAGAATCACTGAAACATGGAAAACACAAAATATGTCCATGATAAAAGAAAAGGTATTTTCATTTTAAAACTAGGGGTGTAATGGCACATGTACTCGTCCTGATCGGTTACGGCACGGATGTCATGATTCGGTTCATGCAGTCAGACGATCAGAATGACGAGACGCAAAGAGACGATCTACTCAGCAACCCAAAACAAGAATGGAGCGTTCAGGAGGCCCGCAAGAGCTCGAAGAATCGCCTGCTTGTTTTAAATCAGCAGTTTGAGAAAGTTTCGGGTTCTAGAGATGCACCGGTCGCTTGCTATAAATTGGAACTGGTTTTAAATTTTATTTTGGCCGATCTCTATTTCGGAATTGCACACAAACTGCATTGCAATCATTTCCCAAAATGGAATTTGTGTGGAATTTTCATGAAGTCTGTAAAGAGGGGAAAATACTGTACCAGGCAGATCAAGCTCACTGTTCGTGATGCTCAGAGTATAGGAAGTGAAATATGTGGGGGTTTATATGAATGTGTCTCTGAGAGGAACTGACCGTCTTCAGAAATGTTTCCATGGCATTTTCTTTTCCTCTTACCTGCATATTATGCATATTAAAGCTGCTTTGTTTACAGCGGTAACCAAGGAAACGCTACATCTCTGCTGTTCCATAAGCGCCACCTGCTGTTAGAAAATAAATCTGCATTTTCATTCAGCCTGTCTGCTGTTTTTGTTTTGTGCAGTTGTCTTCTATAGCATAATTTCACAAATCTAAAGTCAGACCATTCTGTTTTTGCTTTAAATCTTGAGCTTATACAATCAAATTCAAAAACAACTGCTCATGCTACATGTATGTAGCACTACTGTCTGTTCAAAATTAATGAAAATACATTTGTTGTACCAAACTCGACCCCAAAAGTGAGGTACGTACCGAACCGTGACTTCTGTGTGCTGTTACACCCCTATTTAAAAGTTTGTAATGTACTCTTTAGTATTAGTACACTTATTGACATATAGTCATGAGGATTTGCAGGCGTTCTCTCTATTATATAATTTCATGTTTTATGTTTTTACCCTTCATGTTGGTTGCACCACATGAAAAGAATAACAAGTCACTGAAATAACAATACATTTAAAGGGTTAGTTCACCCAAAACTGAAAATTCTGACATTAATTACTCACCCTCAAGTCGTTCCAAACCCGTAATGAACCTCGTTCATCTTCTGAACACAAATTAAGATATTTTTGATGAAATCTGAGAGTTTTCTGACCCTGCATAGACAGTGTGGCGGGGGGGGCGTGGTTTAGCAGGGTCTGCAGCGGGAGAGAGCGGTCCTTACCCGAGCCTCAGTCACGCTGACTCCGACTTCTTCCTTCCCTACTAAGAACCTCATTACACTGGTGCCAAAACCCGGGAAGGAAGAAGCCCGGCCGCTGCCATGATGCAGTCACCGCCAAGTTCGCCGTCCTTGACCCACTTCCTGCCACTAGGGCGGCGGGGAAGTCTGGGCCGGCCTGTTGGCGTTGCGGGGACCCCGGACATTTCATTGACCGGTGCCCGGTGATGGAGGTCGGGGCACTGATCTGGGTCCCGGACGACCCACAGGCTGCCCCCGATCAAGCTGGCCTGTACCAAATACCTGTGAGTATTAAGGGGGGGTACCTATCTCGCTTTGGTGGATTCGGGGTGTAACCAAACCTCGGTCCATCAAAGCCTGATTCAGCTCGAAGCATTGGATAGAAGCCGCATGGTTCCGGTGCGGTGTGTGCACGGGGATGTGGTGGAATATCCTCTAATGTCCGTGCTGATTCAATTTCGGGGTCAAAAACATAGTGTGGAGGTCGCAATTAATCCGCACCTCCGGCATCCGTTAATTTTGGGGACAAATTGGCCAGCCTTTAGTCAATTACTGGGTTGTTTAGTCCCTAAAACGGGCATTTGAACAGGTTCAGACCATCGACGGTCAGCCTCTCCATCCCGACCGTCCGCTCTCGTATCCCTATTTTGCTGTTTTAAAAGAGCGCTTGTACCGAGTGACACAAGACACTCAGACAAAGCAGGATACAATCCAATTGTTGGTACCTAAAAGCCGTCGGGAAATGCTTTTCCAGGCGGCTCATTGTAATCCAATGGCGGGACATTTAGGACAGGCAGCGACACTAAATCGTCTCATGGCCCGATTCTTTTGGCCGGGCATTCACGAGAATGTGCGCAGGTGGTGCGCGGCTTGTCGTGAATGTCAGCTGGTAAACCCACCGGCCTCCCCAAAAGCGCCTTTGCGCCCTTTACCTCTAATGCAGGCCCCCTTCGAGAGAATTGGTATGGACCTCATCGGGCCATTAGAACGGTCGGCACGCGGGCATCGCTTTGCGTTAGTCCTAGTAGATTACGCAACACGATACCCTGAAGCAGTCATCACGAAGACGCCAAAAATTGGGACAGGTGGCTGGAACCCCTCTTGTTCGCTGTGCTGGAGGTCCCCCAAGCCTCCACGGGATTTTCCCCCTTTGAGCTTCTCTATGGGCGTCAGCCCCGCGGGGTGCTGGATGTCCTGAGAGAAACTTGGGAGGACGGGCCTTCAGAAAGCCAAAATGAAATTCAATACGTGCTGGACCTGAGAACAAAACTCCACACCTTGGGGCGGCTGTCGACGGAGAATTTGTTACAGGCCCAGGACAGGCAGAGCCGGCTGTACAACAGGGGGTCCAGGCTGCGTAAATTTGCACCGGGAGAAAAAGTGCTTGTATTGCTCCCTACATCTAGCTCTAAATTACTCGCCAAGTGGTAAGGACCCTTTGAGGTCACACGGCGAATTGGGGATCTTAATTATGAGGTCATTCGGACAGATAGGAGCGGGACATGTCAGATTTATCACCTCAACCTCCTAAAAAAATGGAGTGAGGCGGAGTCAGTGATGCTAGCGACGGTGGTGAGTGGGGAGGAGGATCTCGGGCCAGAGGTAAATACTAAACGGCAATCTCTAGCTCTGGCCCCGGGGGGAGATCACCTCTCGCCCTCGCAGCTCGCTGACGTAGCCAAGCTACAGGCAGCGTTTGCGGATGTGTTCTCGCCCCTACCTGGTCGAACGGACCTCATACAGCACCACATAGAAACCGAGCCGGGTGTGGTGCTTCGCAGCCGGCCATATCGTTTACCTGAGCACAAAAAAAAAGGTGGTTCAGGCGGAATTAGAGGCGATGCGGGAGATGGGAGTAATAGAGGAATCCCATAGTGATTGGGCGAGCCCGATAGTTTTGGTACCAAAAACGGACGGCTCGGTACGATTCTGTGTGGATTATCGCAAGGTGAATGCTGTGTCGAAATTCGACGCATATCCAATGCCGCGGGGTGGACGAACTGCTTGATCGGCTGGGTGCAGCTCGTTTTTATTCGACGCTGGATTTAACTAAAGGATATTGGCAGATCCCCTTATCACCTCTATCCAAAGAAAAAACAGCCTTCACCACGCCGTTCGGATTGCACCAATTCGTTACGCTTCCGTTCGGGTTGTTTGGGGTGCCGGCCACGTTTCAGCGCCTCATGGATAAGATTCATACCCGAGCCTCAGTCACGCTGACTCCGACTTCTTCCTTCCCTACTAAGAACCTCATTACAGACAGCAACTCAACTGAAATGTTCGCAGGCCCAGAAAGATAGTAAGGACATCGTTAAAATAGTCCATGTGACATACGCACAAAAAGTATTCTTGTAGCTTCATAAAATTACGGTTGAACCACTGATGTCACATGGACTATTTTAACAATGTCCTTACTACCTTTCTGGGCTTTAAATGTGGTAGTTGCATTGCTGTCTATGCAGGGTCAGAAAGCTCTCGGATTTCATCAAAAATATCTTAATTTGTGTTCAGAAGATGAACGAAGGTCTTACGGGTTTGGAACGACACGAGGGTGAGTAATTAATTAAGGACAGAATTTTTGGGTGAACTATCCCTTTAATGCGGAGCATCTTTTAGCAGTGTCCAGATGTGCAAAAGAACTCAAACATTTGCCCATACATTGATTATTTTTGATATTATCATATATTTTTAGAAAAATCAAAATGTAGCAGACTACCTTTATAGGTCTTTTTTTAATGGAATTGCCATTAAAGTAATAGTTCAGCCAAAAATGAAAATCTGCTAAAAAAAGTACTCACCCTGAGACCACCTAAGTTTGCGGTGAATGGGTGCCGTCAAAATGAGAGCCCAAACAGCTGATAAAAACATCACAGTAATCCACAAGCAATCCACACGACTTTAGTCCCTCAATTAACATCTTGTGAAGTGAAAAGCTGCATGTTTGCAAGAAACAAATCCATCATTTTAACTAGTTTAAACCATTGCTTCTGGCCAAAATACTAGTCCGTAATCCAAAATAACATTTCCTCCAGTGAAAAAGTCCATCCTCTCACAACAACATACCTCGACATATTTGTCTAAACTTGTTTTGGAGTGTTTTTGCTTATAAACGGTGCTTGATCCGTGCATATTTCTCTCCTGATTCAGACTAGATGCCTTATTCACTGAAGCCATCCTAATGATGGATTTGTTTATTACAAACATGCAGCTTGTGGGTTACTTTTATTACTTGTGGATTATTATAATATTTTTATCAGCTGTTTGGACTCTCATTCTGACGGCACCCATTCACTGCAGAGCATCTACTGGTGAGCAAGTGATGGAATGCTACATTTCTCCAAATCTGTTTTGATGCAGAATCAAACTCATCTACATCTTGGATCTCCTGAGGGTGAGCACATTTTCAGCTAACTTTTCATTCTTGTGTGAACTATTCCCTTAAATACACTTGAATTTTTTGGTTCCTTTTTTTAAAACAAATTTTGCATTAACTTGGTACCAGCATACTAGTATTCTTGAGATTCCTAAAACAGTGCTGGTGAAACATCTGCACACACTCCAGGAACTGCTGAGGTTGGTTCGCACACGCAAACAAAGGCCCACTCAAAACAATACAATCCTCTGTGTGAACGCATGTGTGTGGGAAAGAGGGAGAGAGAGTGTTTACTTTGGTTCTGTGAGTGTGGACATTTCACTTTGCCTCTGGGTGTTTATGTGAATGAAAGAGAGTGTACGGATATCTTGCGCTGCCTGTGAGTGTGTTTAACGTGTATGCATTCCATAAAAGTAGGTGTTTGTTGATATTCACCTCTTATGGCTTGTGAATTGGAGGTCAGGACGAACAGCCGTATGAGGCTGAAGCAGAGCGGGGAGAAATCGTGCTCCCAGATGACAGCTGGAATTAGCAGCACTTTGCCGTAGCTGGAGAGCAGAAGCGCCTTCAACAGCGGAGTGAATTCTACAGAGGAACCAGAGCAGCACTGCGCCGTCCAGAGAATGAACAACACACCTATGCAGAACACGGCCAACTCTAGACATACACAAAGAACATGCTGTTAGGGTGAAGCAGACACGTTTATCAAAAGCGACTTAAAACATGAAGAACATTACAAGCAATTTCATACATACATATGTATATAATGCATTTAAAAAAAATAAAAATAAACAATAATAATTTGCAAAATAAAAACAATATTAAGATTTTTTTTTAGCAGGGTGACATTATTTTCGTGACAGAAAATCATGTTGCATCCACATGTTTAATTTTAGATTTTTAAAAAAATTATTATTATTCAAGAGATTCTCATTAATGTAATCAAATTCTTTCTATATTACGGTCAGAAAATAATGCAATGTGAAGGAGTGCAAGGAGAACAAATCCTACCATAAACACTACTGTTCAAAGATTTGGGCCGAGCAAGATTTTTATTTTTTTTAGGAAGTTAATACTTATATTCAGAAATGATGCATTAAATTGATCAAAAAAGTGACAGTAAAGATGTTACATGATAAATGTTGCTACAAAAAAAATACTATTTCAAATAAATGCTGTTCTTTTGAATGTTCTATTCATTCAAGAATCTTGAAAAAAGAAACCAGCAAATTGTTTTCCACTGTGATTATGAAATGTTTCTTGATCATCAAATCATCATATTAGAATGCTTTCTGAATGATTATGTGACACTGATGCTGAAGAGAATTCAGCTTTGCATCACAGGAATAAATTACATTTTAAAATATATTAAAATAAATAAATACATAGAAAAAGAGTTATTTTAAATTGTAATAATATTTCACAATATTCCTGTTTTTACCATATTTTTGATTAAATAAATGCTGCCTTAACATAAGAGACTTTCAAAAGTATTAAAATATCTAAATTGTTCTAACATTTGACCGCAAGCATAAGAGACTTCTTTACAATAAACAAATAAATCTTACCGACCTCAAACTCTTAGTTTATATACTTTTTTTACTTCATGCTTTTTTTTCCCCCCTTTAGATTTAGTGATTTTGGGGCGAATAATGACCCAGGCATGTTGTTTATGAGATTAACCCATAAAACATAATCACCAACGGTAGTGAACAGTCAGAATGGACCTTTGAACAGATCACAGTGAAGCTACAAAAACAGACCTCAAAGCCCTAAATCTTTCATAATACCTTCATAAAAATGCATAACCTCTACACCTCATCTTTACCCACAACTCAATTAGTTCATTTGACTAATTCCATCTAATTAGTCAGTGACTGACTTCATTAAAAACAATGATTTACCCAGTGAAGCCAGTGCAAACATGCAGTAAAACTCCCACTCTTTAGTGTAACGGATGATATCAGCGGGGTCATCGTTGGCCTGGGACCCCTGCAGGAGGGACCAGCGCAGATACGCCTCACACAGCAGACAGAACACACACAGTTTCCAGTGGATCTAGAGAGAGCGGAACAGAGGCTGCGTTCACAATACAATCCTATGTATGCAGTCTGTATTCTGCACACACTCTGCATGCATTTTTCTTTTTCCCAAAAGCTGTTAAAAAACGGAGTAAAAAAAAGTTTTACTCACATTGATCTCAGTGTTGAAGAGGATATGTCTGAAGGCCTGGATTTTGCATAGAGTGGCATCTATCAAAATAATAACTGGATCATATTCGATGTATTTGTCAACTGGCTTCTTGCATGACCTCTGCAGAGGGGAAAAAAAAACCCACATCAATTTTGAATGACAATTTATGTTAGCCAAAACACTGATTTTATAATTCTGTATATGCATATTTTTTTCATGAAATATTAGTTTTGGGTTTTATAACGTACTTACATTTTGCTAAAAGTCTATAATATATTTCAAATGCAGATATTTCGTGGAATTTAGCTTTACAGCGTCAGATACGATTTATTATTTATTGTTTAAAGGTCGCTGTCAATAAAACGGGACCGTTTTTTTTTCTTTTCTTTTTCTGGGCAATAATGGTTAAAATGTTTAATTTTTTCCCAACCAAAACATACATAAATACAGAAATGTAATTAACTGGAGAGTAAAATAGTGACAAATGGCCGTGCTCTTCACTATGTGCATTACATCAGGCCTAAGTTGTGAGCATGCTAACCTGAACAGAACAGAGAACAAACTAAACTTGAAATTGTGAACTTTATGATGCACTCACACATATGGTGATCTTCAGTATTCCGTTGCTGTAATCTCGATGCAGTTCGTTTGCATCTTCGTTACACTCGACGCATTTAAACAATCCCGGTGCCATTCTTCATATGACAGCATGAAAACACGCCTACTGCTTCCTGAACCTCCATAAGGGGCGGGGCTTATCAGGCTGCTGACGGGAAATGTAGTTCTGTCAGCTCCGTCGCCACTAGGGATTCAGTTCCACGCAACTACATTACCCAGACTGTACCGTTCCTCACCTGCTCATTACATCACTCACAACATGGCACCTGCTGGCGGGGGTGTTGTCCTGGCGGCTCTGTCGCTGCTGTACTTATGCGGAGCTATTTTATCCAGCGAGTATTTCTCCACGTTGACTTTTTTCAACAGCGACCTTCACAAGCACGGCTGCAGCTCTCCGGCCGAGTGGGAGGAGTATGCGCCGGACTGCGGTGAGCTTCATGCCACAACATGCATGTTGCATAGCAACACGAAGGACAAGAACATTTGTATTGGGTGTCATTGAGTTCAAGATTGCTTTCAGCAGATGTAGCTTGGCATTACAATGGTGGTTTGGAAATGATCATGGTATTCTTTGAAGTAACTTTAATGAGTGCCATGAAAACACAAATAACATGAGTCCACTGTTTTCAATAGTAACAATAACTGTAGGAAGTAACTATGGTATTGTGTCTCAAACTATTGCTGTTACCCTGGTGACTTGGTATTCTGTTTCAGATTGTGTTTTGATCCAAAGGAGCCTTGAAATACAATCCTAGTAACCCATAATGAAAGAATCTAATGAACTCATGATGAGCACAAAAGAAAATATTTTGAGAAATGGAAACCGAATAGTTGACGGTAGCCATTGACTTCCATAGTAGTTTTTTTTCCCCACACTAAGGAAATCAATGGCTACCATCAACTGTTCGGTTACCAAAATTCTTCTCTATAGCTTCTTTTGTGCTGGAAGGTGAGTAAATGATAACAATTATTTTTTATTTTTGGGTGAACTATCCCTAATCCATGAACAAAACTATGCATGGTAAAAACAATCCACACTACATTTAATACAGATTCACTTGCAGCGAGGATAACATGTTTTAACTTGTTATTCTATAAGCATTATATGATTTTGGTACTGTATCTGGTCGCCACTTGATTTGGGTTCTGCAGCAAAGCCAGTCAGAAACCAATGATAGTGAAAACAACATTAATTGCGTTTAGTTCAAGCCAAAGTCATTTGGTTAGTCACATTTTTTTAAATCTTTGGTCCATCAGAGTCATCTATCCTGCAGTTGGAGGATCCCGACTGTGAAGAGGGGAGCAACCCGTCCTGCGAGTCCATCTTTTCACTCAATGCAGAAAAAATACTTGTGAGTTGCATTTGCATCATATTACACAATGTTAAAGGAATAGTTCAGGCCAAAATGAAAATTCCGTCATTATTTATTTACTCTCGTTTTAACTTGCTTTCTTTGGAACTGAAAAGAGAAATGATGACAGGATTTTCATTTTCAGGTGAACGGTTCCTTCAACACCTGCTCTTTAGAAATTAGAACACTGTAAAACGACACATGAAGAGCATCAAGCTAAAACCAAAACACTTCCTATCCAGCACAGAAAAGGTGTTTTGCTGGTCCTCTGTAATTATGGATCTCTTCAGTGTTGTTGTAACCACTGGTGGCTTGGATTGATTGCTGAAGGTTGACAGACTTCCTGACGTGTTTTTCTTTCTTTCTCTCTTTCTGTCGCCACAGAATCAGGCAAAGTTGTTCGTCGAACAGCGACGGTTTCCTTTCGCTGTGGAAAACCAAAATACCAATGAAGAGCTTGGTGTGTGTCGGCTGTGTTTCTCATTGTTTTGACTTTGGCAAGTGTGTATTTTGCACTTGTCTTTGGTTGATGTTATCTGCTAACACGGTTTTGTGTTTATTTCAGCCATTGGCTATGTTCTCATTGGAAATGGCCTCTATGATGAAGCTATCAAGCACTTCTCCTTACTGCTACAGGTCAGTTTTGTTGGGACTGAAGTAAACGTAATGCTAGTTGATTGTGTGGTAATGGTGAACTTGTTCTAAGCACTTTCACAAAAGAGCTGTCCTCTATCACCAGGGAGATCCTGAGCTGGTCAGTGCCATCTATGGACGGGGAATAGCCTACGGCAAAAAGAGTCTGCAGGTCAGTCGTTTGCTTTACGCTGCCAGTCAAAAGTCTGGAAGTGATGTAGACATGTGGGGGTGTGTTAGAATGAGCTGTTTTAGGTAGGCGTGGTTGACTCTTAACTTTTATAAAGAATATCTTTTTGAGATATTTTTGATTTGAGACTTTAGTCTTTGCAAACTTTACAGATCTTCTTTATGCACCAAGAGCTTGTAACACTCCAAAGAGAAAGGAAAACTTGAAATCGCATCATATGACCCCTTTAAGATTTTTTTAAAATGTTTTTGAAAGAAGTCTCGTAAGACTGCATTTTTGATCAAAAATAATGTAAAAACACTAATATTATAAAATAATGTTGCAGTTCACAAGAACTGTTTAATATTTTAATACATTTTAAAATTTTGGTTTTTCCTGCGATGGAAAAGCTGAATTTTCAGCAGCCATTGCTCCAGTCTTCAGTGTCACATGATAGGAAGTTTAGGGTTAAAAAACAAAACATTTATAATGGTACAACAGATTTCCGGTTCAAATAAATGCTGTTTATTGAACTTTCTATTCCTCAAGATAATCCTGAAAAAAGCATCATGGTTTCCACATAACATATTAAAGGGTTAGTTCACCCAAAAATGAAAACATTTTTTACTCACCCCCGAGGCATCCTACTAGGATGCCTCGGGGGTGAGTAAAACGCAGCCTAATTTTCATTTTTGGGTGAACTAACCCTTTAAGTAAGAACGGTTTTCAAAATAGATAATAATAAGAAACATTATTAATAACTGAGCACAAATTGATTAATTGAGAAGAAAATCAGCATGTTAGAATGATTTCTGAAGGATCAGGGTGTTGCTATGCGGTTGCTAGGGTACTCGGGTGGTTGCTAAGGTGTTGCTATGCGGTTGCTAGGGTACCCAGGGCAGTTGCTAGGATGTTGCCATGCGGTTGATCTGAAGGATCATGTGACACTGAAACCTGGAGTAATGATGCTGAAAATTCAGCTTTGCATCACATGAATAAATTACATTTTAAAATGTATTCAAATAAAAATTTGTTATTTTATATAATATTTCACAATATTACAGTTTTTACTGTGTTTTTAAATCAGATAAATGCAGCCTTTGTGAACATAAAGGACTTTCAAAAACATTTAAATATCTTAATTATTCCAAACTTTTGAACAATAGTGCGTGTATGTTGGTTTATCAAACACTACTAAATATTTTTGTAGCGTTTGTAGTCATACAACATGATTGAAGGTAACTCTCTCGCTCTCTGAAGGACATAAAGAATGCAGACTTGGCTCTGTATGAGTTGAGCAGAGTGATCGCACTGGAGCCCAGCAGACCAGAAGTATACGAGCAGAGGGCGGAGGTGAGGAACGAGGGATTGACAAATTAAGACTGTTTATGAAGTGTTTAGTGGTAATGATGAAGCATGTGATTTCAGATTCTGTCTCCTCTGGGCCGCATCAGTGAAGCTCTGTCAGACCTGACTAAAGCCATACAACTGCAGCCTTCAGCCCGACTCTACAGACACAGAGGAACACTGCTCTTCATATCAGAGGTGCACAGACACAGCCATCTTATCTGTCAAGTAAACTTTGATTTTGACTTGAATAGATTGGTAAAGTGTCATTGTAATGTATAGATCTCTTCATTTAATGTCCTGAGTGGACAGATAGCGCTGGATCTGTCCAGGACCTTCATATTTATCACATCTGGAGATATTTATTATTATCCAGTTGAACAGTAATTTGATTGATGCATAATAGATACTCCAGCGTGATAGTGAATTTTTAATTGTAGGGGTCATATCATGAATAATCAATTTTATCTTGTGAGATAAGCATTTATTGTACTATGAAGCAGTCGTAACTTAAGGTGCGGTCACTTCTACCGTTGATCTGCAGTTTTTCATGGGTGAAATCCAGTACTTTAAAAAAGAATCCGTGTGATTGCATAAGGGTGAAATATTTCACCACACTGATAAATATTTTCTGGTCATGCAGAAAAGTAACATCTGTGAGCTGTGCCTCATACATCGCTACACTATTGATAATTCATAATGGACTTTCTTTTTTTTTTACCGCTAATGTGACTTCTCTATTAGTTTTCCATGACCATTTTCTGACCCTACGAAACAAACTGGCTGTTGTTGCTACTATACCTTTGAGACTTCAGTATTAATTAATCATGTAATTTTGTTTTGTTGCAAAACTTTTGTTGGACTAATGAAATTGTTGACTGTGTTCTGTTCCTGTCAGTCAATTTATGTTTTTATGTTCACCAAAGCTGCATTTATTTGATCAAAATACAGTAAAAAACAATAATATTGTGAAATGTTATTACAATTTAAAATAACTATTTTCTATTTTAATATATTATAAAATGGAATTTATTAGTGTGACGCAAAGCTGAATTTTCAGCATCATTACTCCAGTCTTCAGTGTTACCAGATCAGCAAATTAGAGTGATTAATGAAGAATGAATAAATATTTATTATTATCATCAGTGTTGGAAACAGTTGCTCTGCTTAATATCTTTGGAATCTGTGATACATATTTGCAGGATTCTTTAATGTTCAAAAGAACAGCATTGATTTAAAATAAGATTTTTTTGTAACAAATCTTTACTGTGACTTTTAATCAATTTAACGAATCCTTGCTGAATAGAAGTATGAATGGAAATTTCTTACATTTCTTAAAACTTTTGAATGATGGTTTAGTTTTAATCACTCATTATTTAATAATATTCACAGATATCTTCCTTTCTCTCATTGTCTTTCAGGATTATATGGCAGCCATGGAGGATTTCCAGCAGTCTCTAGAGCTGAAGAAGAACCAGCCCATTGCTATGCTCTATAAAGGGCTGACCTTCTTCCACAGGGGCCTCCTTAAGGTAAAAAAAAAAGAAGAAAAAGTTATATCTCAAATGCGGTAATTTTGTATAAGCGAGAGCCAGTGCAGAATGCCTTGATTCAAGAACCTTATGTAGTTTCGATGTAAGAACTGGACTGAAGTTACAGCGGAAAGTTTTAAAAAAGATGCCATTTTACATTGGACAGTTGTCTATATTTACAGTAAGTGACATAGCTTAGGGTTTACACTACTAACAAATTGTTTTCTGCTTGCAGGAGGCTATAGAGGTGTTTAAAGAAGCTCTCAAATTGAAGTCGGACTTCATAGATGCATATAAAAGCTTGGGTCAGGCTTACAGGTGAGTTGCTACTGACTCATAATGATTTTAACAGTCTGTTTTTTCAGATGTTTCTATGCAGACAATTGTGTGTGTGTGTGTGTTCAGGGAGTTGGGGGATTTTGAGAATGCTATGGAGAGCTTCCAGAAAGCTCTGTTGCTGGATCAGAACCACATCCAGTCTCTCCAGCTCAGAGGAATGATGCTGTACCACCACGGCAGCCTGCAGGAGGCCATAGGCAACTTTAAGGTAAATCGATCGTTCAACACCCAAATGGTGTTGTATTTACCTCTTTGTTGGCAGTAGTAATCCTTAAAAACAACATGAAGTAAAATAGATTTGAAGCAGACCGATTACTTAATGTAATGAATGTTAATATCATAACCCAATGTGTTCCAATCAAAACATTTCTTGATAGATAAAATCGAATCCCATTGTACATTATTTCCCAGTAAATATTAATTTATAATTTATGCATTTAGCAGATGCTTTTATCTAAATTATAATTTATAATAATAATTTATGCATTTAGCAGACACTTTTATCCAAAGCGACTTACAGTGCATTCAGGGTATACATTTATTACCAGTATGTGTGTTCCCTGGGAATCGAACCCGCGACCTTTTGCGCTGCTAACGCAATGCTCTACCACTGAGCCACAAGAACATTAAAATATTCAGTTTTAATGGGAAGTACTGTATATTACATTGCAGTAAAATGAATATAAGGATGAATACAGAAGAATTAATATCAGTTCTTATTAGGGCTGTCAAAATTTTTTTTAATTTCGAATATTCGTCAAATTTAAAATTAAAATCCACATTCGAATGCAAAAACGTTGCATTCCTTTCCGCCCTTTGTATTAAACTATGCATACATACATGATGCTGTTTTGTTTATAGTTGTTTAAGCAACTTAATTATAATTGGTTTATAAACATTATTTTAAACATTATGCACTTTTTTCACAGGTAGTCATGTTACCTTATGCTTTGAATAAACGTGCATTAGTAATATTTTGCTTGATGCGCCCTCTTGTGGCGTCAGAAGAGAAGCCAAAAGCTTTTCTTCACTCTAACTGAAATTATGAATTTTAAATTCGAATATAATTCGAATTCTGATAATATTTAAGTACAAAATTCAAATGTAGTTTTTCAGCCATTTTGACAGGCCTAGGTCTCATAAGCTTTAGCAAAAATACAAGATTCACAAATCATTTCAGAATACCTTGAACGGTAGACTTTAATTTTTTTTCTACTAAGTGTTTTTACAAAGTGAGGGTCAACTCAAAATGATCTTATGTTGTAATTGACAGTATATGCTGTTAGTGGAGTTTAAGCAAAGTTCACCCAAAAATGAAACTTCTGTGATCATTTACTCGCCTTTATGTCACTCAAAACCCACAAGGCTTTCATCCATCTTTGAAACACAATTGAAGATTTCTAATGAAACCTGAGAGATTTCTGTTCCTCCATCGAAATGTCCATTCCACCAAAACTTTGATGCTTCAAAAAGTTCATAAAGACAGTGTAAAAGTAATCCATATGAATTAGGCTTGCCGCGATAGACGGTGCTGACGGTGATACCGGTGTTAAGCCGCAACACCGGTTATGTCAATTGCCCACCGCGTCACCGACCCCCACCGTCATTTTGATTTTTTTGTAGTAATAAAAATCATTTAGTTTATTTTATATTAGGCATAGCCTGCCCTATAGCATGGTGTATTTGTATTTGTTTTGTTAATAAAAGTTCTATGTTTTATATATAGGCTAAAGTGAGTTTGACGTTGTATTTTGTTGTTGCATTCAAGCAATTGACACCGACCTGCTGCTAATTCAAAAGTGAAAGTAAAATGCGCACGGCGCTTTTAAGCTATTTAAAAGAGAAGGGAAAAGAGGGAAAATTCAAACGAACTAAAAACGAACAATTGCTTTACGCCGAATTGCCGCTATTTGAAAGTGAAAGTAAAATGCGCAAGCCGCTTTTACAAGCTATTTAAAAAGCTAGGAAAAGAGGGAACGCCAACGCCCCCACGGTGATACCGGTATTACCGGTGTTGTCACACGTCGATTAACCGGTGGGAAAATTTCCTCACCGTCACAACCCTAATATGAATATTTGAAAACATTGATTACCCCACATGCATAGATCGCATTGCATATGGTAAACAGAAGCTCAAAGCACTTGTTTGACACGTAAGAACCAATGAGGTTTGTTCTCGCAAAAAATGTCCATTTGTGTTTCTGAAGCCAAACTAAAGTCTAATGGGTTTGCAGCAACATGAGGATGCGTAAACTACAGAAGTAAAATTTTTGGGTGAACTGTTACTTTAAATTATTTTTGTTTGTTTAAATGGATTCATCTGTGTCACTTATTTGGGTAGTAGACTAAGTAGAAGTAGACTTTTTTTTTTTTCAGTCAAGATGACCTGTGGAGAGCAGTGCAACTCCAAAGTCCTTCTTTACGATATCAATACCATTGATTTTTTGTTTTAAAGTCACTTATACACGATTGTGTTTTCCTTGTCGTTTTATTCAATTCTTGTATTGAATCTCAAAACGAACATGTTTTTTAGTTATTCTGGTCAGATGTTGACAGTTCTAGCTTGGATTGCACATTTGGTCTCTTGTCCTGGGGTTGTTTGTTTCACTAGTGTTTTATCATGTTGTCTTTCAGAGATGTCTGCAGCTGGAGCCCTATAATGAAGTGTGTCAGTACATGAAGGGTCTCAGTCACGTGGCCATGGGCCAGTTCTACGAGGGCATTAAAGCTCAGACGAAAGTCATGCTCAACGACCCTCTCTTGGGACAGAAAGCCAGCTCCGAGTATCTCAAAGTCAAATATCTCAGAGGTGAGAAATTAGAGCCATATAATAATTTCCACGTGGTCATTAACAAGCATTACATAATGCTTAACAGATCAGTAGTTCTCATTAGCTTCAGTATCTGTGTTAGCCAGATAGATATTGTTATCTTAGTGACATAAATCAGCAAAATTTGCAACAGCATTTTCAGAAAGTTTAGAAAAAAATTGCTCCATGAGTGTAAATGAAATCACATTGGTTCCGGTCCATCCTTATTGTTGAGCCCTGTAACGGAAGTGTAAATATTTAAATATTTAAATTTACTAAAAGATGTAGCTAGATTTTTTTTTTTACTTTTAGAAAAAACATTTTTTTTTTGCAAAATTAATACAAATGTAATGTTGTGAAATATTATTACAATTTCCCATTTATTTATTTATTTAAATAAATAAATCACTTCAGTGTCACATGATCCTTCAGAAATCATTCTAATATGCTGCATTGATGCTCAAGAAACATTTCTTATTATCTGTATTGAAAACAGTTGTGCTGCTTCATATTTTCGTGGAAACCATGATATTTTTTTTCCAGGATTCCTTGACGATTTTTTTTCCCATTCTTGATGTTCAAAAGAATAGCATTTACTTGAAAAATTTTTTTTTTTTTAACAAACAGAAAAAAAAAAATCTTACTGACCCCAAACTTTTGAACACTTGTGTTGTGTATATATAGTATAGTAATCATATTACATAAAAAATATACTCATAATTAATCAAATTGATTTACCTCCTTGACCCCTGAATGTTTTAGATCAATGATTTGGAGTTGAAATATGCTCTGTTTTTCTTTCTGATTTAATGTGATAGAATACTCCCGTTATTTACACTCTCATCTGGATGTACCTGTTGCGGAGTATAACGTTGATCAGGATTTGCCTGGAAACTTTAAGAACCACTGGGCCAAAAATCTTCCCTTCCTCATTGAGGACTATGAAGAACAGCCTGGACTTCAGCCTCATATTAAGTGAGTTTAGATGCACAATGAGTCTTTTGTGTTTTTGGCATCATAGGCACATTTGAATCAAATTTCTATGTATGAATAATCAGATATCAGCTTGTTTTTGCATGTTGTAACTTTTTTTATTCCCTCCTTGTAGAGATGTTCTACCTCAGAACTTTGACAGTTACTCTGCTGAAGTGCAGAAGCTGATCTGTACAGCGGATCACCTCGGTGCACTGATGCAGTACGACACATTAGGCTTCTTACCAAACCTCAGAATACACAGAGGTCAGAGCTCTTTAGAAGCACCAAATAATACAATCATACCATTTTGGGTGCACATAAGTGGTACGCAGGTGCACATGCGCGACCAAAATAAAAAAATGCAATGTATAAATATGTTCAGACCGCTTCACTCAGCAGCGCTAAACCTGGTAGTGCATATACTTACTTGCTGGCAACCTGCCAAAATAAAACCTTGCTGATTTTAGTTTTGAAAATGATGAAAATTCATTAAAAAAAAGTGAATATTAACATTGTATTTTTAAGTGTACTATAAAATAACTGTATTTTTATATGTTCAGACCGCTTCACTCGGCAGCGCTAAACCTGGTAGTGCATATACTTACTTGCTGGCAACCTGCCAAAATAAAACCTTGCTGATTTTAGTTTTGAAAATGATGAAAATTCATAAAAAAAAAGTGAATATTAACATTGTATTTTTAAGTGTACTATAAAATAACTATTTTTATTTTACACTTAATTTATTTTTAAGTATAATAGTAGTATCACACTGATTATTTTATCAAAATACAAAATAAATAAATGCAATAATACTATTATCACTATTAATAGTCATTTTATTGTTATAGTTATATTTAATGAGTCACACTATGTGCAGTGCGAGTACCAAAACAAAATCTCCAGGTGCTCTCATGAGAACCAGACTGAAAAACTTGTGCACCCCTCTATATATCAAATATCATGTGGTGCAAAAAAAACCCCACACACTCACACTTGAATACATATTAGTGTACACAATCATTATTTTACGCAAGTTTTTTAGTATAATTTTTAATGTTAAATTTTTTTTCTTTAGATCAGAGCTCTTTAAAATCACTAAATAATTAAGTGATACAGGTATTTAATGAAAAGTTTAAAAATAAAGTACTAAATAAGGAAAAAATATTAAATCATGTGGTGCAGCCTTCACATAAAAATTGATAACATATTTTCTTTGCACCTTGAATGCTTAAACAATTATTAGTTTTTAAATATAATTTTCCAGGTTTCCTTCCTTCCTTTCTTTCTTTCTTTCTTTCTTTCTTTCTTTCTTTCTTTCCATTTAAGGGAAACAGTGCAGTCTTACCACTTATTACACAACATTTCACCACACAAATAATCATGGCGATAAAAAGATATTGATTTAAGACAAAACTTGTTTTAAAATCTTACCAGTGTGTTAGTTATCTTATAATCCATTACAATGTACAAAACAATCGTGGCAAAATGGCAGCAGCTGCGTTTGTATTAAACGAGAGAGCGAGTCCGCGATACCAGGATGACATAATTAAATAACTGTACACATAATATTGAATCGAGTTTTAATATTTTATTAGCGAACCAAACGCAAAGCTTTCACCAAGAAAAAACAGTTCCTGGCAAGAGTATAGTGCCGACTTCGGTTACCCGGATGAGCCTGTGTTATCAGCTTGTTATCGAGGGATAACAGACCTCGGAATGTCGCGACTGACCAATCAGAATCAAGTATTCCACAGAGCCGTGTAATAATTGATAAATATCACTAAATCTTTAGGAGTTGCACCACATGATATTTTTTGTAACCTGAACTATCATTGTCATTAACATTGTCTTGTCATCAAAAGGTAAAATAATAATAATTAAAAAATAGTTATATATTGACACACAGTCATGAGGGTCTACATGAGGCTCCTCAAACTATGGTACCATTTCCTGTTTTATGTTGTTTTTTTTCTGCATGTAGATTAGACCACAAGTGTTTGTTGATAGCACTAGATAACTTTGATTTTATTTAAGTAATAAGCAGTGGTTTTAATAATTTTTTATTCAGTTTTATTTACTTTTTTTTTCTTTGAAATAATAATAATAAAGTCGAATGCCAAACTTCTTAATATGGTTTTCATTTTTTCATTTAAATTACATTTTTTATGAGGACTTTTTTTCATTATTATATCAAAACAGTTCCATTTTTGACTTTGTTTCCAAAAAGATTTAAAGAAATCTAAATGAGTTGTAATTCAAAAATAAAAAGCATATTCATCGTAGAAGAGGTGCATTCAAGTCACCACATTTTTGAATTGCATTTTTAATGTTGTCTTGTGTTTTTATTGTGTGTTTTGTGTAGCGATGGGTTTGGCCACCATAGAGGTGATGCAGGCCATGCAGCGCACCTGGAGTAACTCGAAGGTTCGAGTCAACGGAAAGACCAGACAGCTGCAGTGGAGAGACATGTTTGACATCGCAGTGAAATGGAGAAGGTCAGATTCCAGCCATCGTTCCTGAGCTCTTCTCACGGCTCTGTGGAGGGTGTTACCAAGGCTTGATGACTGATCTTTGCTGTTTTGTGTGTGTGTGTGTGTGTGTGTGTGTGTGTGGGGGTATGTGTTTACGGGTGTGAGCAGGATTGCAGATCCAGACCAGCCTGTGCTGTGGTTGGATCAGATGCCTGCCAGGAGTCTTAGCAGAGGATTTAACAACCACATTAACCTCATCAGGTGCTGTATCTGCCCTCAATGTACAGAGTCATTTGCTCTGTAAAGTTGCCAGTCCTAATCGCTTAAGAACTTTTTGACTTTTAAGGGTTGATGATAACTATAACCATGACGTTTTAATAATGATCTAAAGTCTCCACACCACAACTGTATTGAAAACGACACGAAGAACAGTATTGTTGAAATCACTTTTACAACACTTCTTTTTTTTTTTCTTCTGCTGATGATGAAAAATTGAAAGCCAATTAGAATCCACCCGAGTTTAAGAGCTTGCAGTAAATTTTGTTTGATCCGTAGTACAAAATTGCAATTTGGCTCAGTGTGATTATCAAATCACAAATGCTCTGATTTAATATAATAAGTATATGCACAGATTGGCTCGGTTCACAGTAAATGCTAATCCACCCCAACTCCAGTTTGGTTCCGTTTACATGCATTTGGGGAAAAAATAGAAGCTTTAAAGGCTGGTTTTCCATCAAAATAATGTTACAGTTGTAATTTAAAATAATCATATTTTATTATATTTGAATATATATTTTATTTTACAGTGAAATATCACAATAGTAATTTCGTAGTAGTAATAATAATGATAATTATTATTATTATTATTATTGCTGTTGTTTTATCAGAATCAGAATCAGAAAGAGCTTTATTGCCACACAAGGAAATCGTCTTGGTGCCAGGAGCTTCCAGTGCAGAAAGTACAAACATAGTGCAGACATACATATAATTTAAAGGTCCCATATTGTCAAAACTGAAAAACTGAGGTCTATGTGCTATGTAACTACTATATAAGTTTCAAAACAGTCAGTCCACAGTATGGGCCGCCTCTAGTTTCCCCTTTGTTTTGCTGCCTCCAGCTAGCGCTGTGACGTCGGCTGACCCTACTTAACTGTGGTTGGCCTGGCCGTGCGTCACTCAGAACACAACAGGCCAATCAGAAGAGAGGCTCATGAATATTAATTAGACAGGCCAAAATCGACCTGTTCTCAGCAGAGCTCCTGAGAAAGGAGCTGTAAAAATATATTGAGATGGTTTTTGGTACTTATACCGCAAATATATATTCTTAAGGACATCAAAACCTAAAATAAATCTCCAGAAAGGTGTAAAATATGTGACCTTTAAGGTAATAAAAACACCAATAATAAAGAGAATAGACATAGCCATATTGATGTATAATCCCAAAATGTTGACCACCTTGTGCAGCCCTACAAACAAGCATGGTGAAACTTGCAATTTTGAAAAATACTTTAATAGTACAGAGAAGCCTTAATACCATACTGATATTAGATATTACTGATATTGTCTATACCAACATTGGTATCATTAATGACGATTCTGTACAGAGAAGATACAGCCAATTTCACACTTCGAGCGTTAGCAGAGTGCGAATCGTTTTACTTCCTGTCCTTTCTCATTGAAACATTGAGGTAAGCATTTTCTGTAAAGCTGCTTTGAAACTATAATATGCGCTGCTCATGCTTGTGGTGTGAAACAGGCCTAAAACTCTGTTGCCGTGTCTGTTTTCTAGCGTTTTAATGGGTTTTCTGTTATTTCTCAGAGGGCAGATCATTAATATCAGATATCTGGAGTATTTCAGAAGTATTCTCGGCTTCGTAAAGGAAAGAATACTGGTTTATCATGGGTGAGTCTCTTTTGTGTGTTTGTGTGTGTGATTTTAATATTTTTTTTTAAATATTATACTGACAAGCTTCACATTTGATTTATTAGTTTTTAATAAAATAATTAAATAACACACACCTCATTAATTCACAGCTCTCTTCATGTATGCACAAAATTATTAAACGGAACATTTTCAACACTGATAATAATAAATGTTTCTTGAGCAGCAAATCAGCATATTAGAATGATTTCTGAAGGATCATGTGACACTGAAGACTAGAGTAATGATGCTGAAAATACCATCACAGGAATACATTACATTTGAAAATATATTAAAATTAAAAACAATTATTTTACATTGTAATCATATTTCAGAATGTTACTGTTTTTACTGTATTTTTGATCAAATAAATGCATACTTGATGAGCAAAAGAGACTTCCTTCAAAAACGTCAAAAAATCTTACTGTTCTCAAAGTTTTGAACTGTAGTGTACATTTTATTTTATATCCTGTACATTCAAACACTTCACCCGTTCAATTGAAAACTTAGTTTGTTCATTCATTATTTTCTTCAAACACCTTATTTTTTTCATACATGCATTCACTCAAATTTATGAATACACTATATTTTCCTGCGTGTGTGTTCTCTCCGTCAGGGCGTATAACCCACGGGGGCTTCAGGACGTAAAGCAGGCTCTGGAAAATGTGAATAAAGTGGAGGATCTGCTGCCCATCATGAAGGTAGCATGAGTGTTAAACATGACAATCAGTATTTTTAATCATTTAATTATTATCTTTATTAATCATTAACCGGATCATTTGTGTGCTGAACGAAATGAAACTAATCTTTCTGGTTGGACAAGCTCAGCAACTGTTTCTAGGTCTAGAAGCGTCTTTCTCACCCTAAAAGTTGACCAGCGATTAATGTCTGAGATAAATTCAGTTTTCTTTTGTTTTTGTTTTTTGGCTATAAGAATCTAAAAAAATATTAGTGCAAGAATTATTAGTGCTCAAGAAACATATACTATTATTATCAATGTTGAAAACTGTTTTTGCTACATAATATTTGTATGAAAACCACGATAGGCATTTGTGACCCTGGACCACAAAACCAGTCTTAAGTCGCTGGGGTATATTTGTAGCTATAGCCAAAAATACATTGTATGGGTCAAAATTACCGATTTTTCTTTTATGCCAAAAATCATTAGGATATTAAGTAAAGATCATGTTCCATGAAGATATTTTGTCAATTTCCTACCGAAAATATGTTAAAACTTAATTTTTGATTAGTAATATGCATTGCTAAGAACTTCATTTGGACAACTTTAAAGATGATTTTCTCAGTATTTAGATTTTTTTGCACCCTCAGATTCCAGATTTTCAAATAGTTGTATCTCGGCCAAATATTGTCCTATCCTAACAAACCATACATCAATGGAAAGCTTATTTATCAGATGTATAAATCTCAATTTCAAAAAATTGACCCTTAAGACTGGTTTTGTGGTCCAGGGTCACATTTATTTGAAATATAAATCGTTTGTAGCATTATTAATGTATTTACTGTCATTTTTTATCTATTTAATGTGTCCTTGCTGTTTTTTTTTTTAAAGCTTTTGAATGGTATTGTATCACCGTTTTTACGAAACATTTAAGCAAAAATGATTTCTGAAGGATCATGTGACACTGAAGACTAGAGTAATGATGCTGAAAATACCATCACAGGAATACATTACATTTGAAAATATATTAAAATTAAAAACAATTATTTTACATTGTAATCATATTTCAGAATGTTACTGTTTTTACTGTATTTTTGATCAAATAAATGCATACTTGATGAGCAAAAGAGACTTCCTTCAAAAACGTCAAAAAATCTTACTGTTCTCAAAGTTTTGAACTGTAGTGTACATTTTATTTTATATCCTGTACATTCAAACACTTCACCCGTTCAATTGAAAACTTAGTTTGTTCATTTGCACGTTAAATATCGCATGCGATTTATCGTGCAGCCCTAATTTTATTTTGATCTCCCTTTCTTGTACACCAATCATACTGTATATTTCATGTGATAATCAAAATGATCTTTGTAAACACATGTGCAATGAATGCTAATCGTTTTATTTGCCGGCTCATAATTATGCCTTGGCATTTGACACTTGCATTCGTGTTTAATAATAGACATATTTATTTAAAAACATATGCATGTTCTCATAAAGCGCATGAAGAAAGACAGAATGTTTCTCTGATGTGCTTCTGTGTGTGTTTGTATATCTGAAGCAGTTCAACAGTAAAACCAGAGACGGCTTCACAGTCAATTCTAAAGTGCCCAGTCTGAAGGATCCTGGGAAAGAATACGACGGATTCACCATCACCATCACCGGAGATCGGTGAGAACTGAACTATTCTGAAATATTGTGCCTTCACAGTTCTGTGACACTGAAGACTGGAGTAATGATGCTGAAAATTCAGTTTTGCATCACAGGAATAAATGACATTTTAAAATGTATGAAAATAGAAAACACTTCTTTTAAATTGTAATCATATTTCAAAATATTACACTTTTTACTGTAAATTAATCAAATAAATGCAGCCTTGGTATAAGGATAAGAAACTTCTTTCAGAAACAATAAACAAAAGTGTGTTAAACTGTATAAATAATTACATTATAAATTTTTAAATCTTTCAAACCAGAGACGGCTTCACAGTCAATTCTAAAGTGCCCAGTCTGAAGGATCCTGGGAAAGAATACGACGGATTCACCATCACCATCACCGGAGATCGGTGAGAACTGAACTATTCTGAAATATTGTGCCTTCACAGTTCATGTTCTTCGGTGTATTTTCAGTGTATGGGATGAAGCAGGCCATGTTTTTCATTCTCACAGCTTCCATATGCAGGTGTGTGAAAGGCCTTCTGCTGATTAATATGATGATTAATTTGGTGCTTTAGAGAACAGATTGCATAAAGATTCTGTTTTTCAGACACGCTTAATCGCACACAATTATGAGAGGTTTGTGTGCCTGGTTATTATCTATATAGCTGTATGTGTTTCATGATATCTATCTGTTTTTCTCTAAATGAACACACGCAAGCATGCTCCATGCACCACTATAATGATAGATGGTAATATGTTATATAATTTACTTACTCAATTGTTCCTGTACAAATATATATATATATAAAAGAAGCCTTGCAGAGGCTTCTGTGAACTTTTTTTAAGTAAAGACCCCAACAATTCATTGAATTGAGTTTTGAACCAATTCATTGAACAGGGCAGTTTGAGGTTTTTCATGGAAATGCTGTAAATCAAACTAACCAGTTGCTTAATGATTTACAAATACCAATAAATTGAAATGCATTGTCGATTTTATTTCACAGGCAGTGTTTTGATTGCCAAAGTGGTGGTGAAATGGCAAAAAAATATGCACAAAAATTACACATATACAGTATCTCACAGAAGTGAGTACACCCCTCACGAATTGCGGGTTATATGTCAAAATTGTAAGATAAAAAGTCGCAATTACCTTTTTATAAATTTTTTTTATTCAGTAGTGGAAACAGGCTTCCATAAAATATCCAACTTAACAAAAAAATAAACTGTTAACTAAACTATAATTTTAAGTCAAGCTCGAACATTTACTTTAAGTTGAAACAACACGTTATTACTTGTTCTTTTAAGTTGTGATAAATTATCGCAGCAGTCATTTTTTTTTTACAGTGAATGTGAATGTGTTACATCATGCTAAAACCCTCTCAGGGCAGTTCCATCTCTAAATCTAAAGAAATATTGAAACTAACATTTTTGAATTTACATAAACTAAGCAGCTTAAGTAATAAAGTAGTCAGTTGTACCATTTTAGTTCTTACACGTTTCATAACGCAAACAATGTGTAAAGGCTGCTTAGCGAGTTTTTTTTTTTTTTTGATTACATGATTAGAGTTCCGGGCCTTATTGTGTGTCTTATGCTAATGATTTTGTGTTGTTATATTTACAAAAATGGGAGGGGTGTACTCACTTCTGTGAGATACTGTATATATACTGTAGATGCCTTTCTATGGGCTGCTGTAAGCCGTCTGCCATATTGGAACAGCCATAGCAGGTCCATAAATCTCAAGAGCAAGTTAATTGTGCGTCTGCAACCGTAGCCATAGTATAAATGAATATCTCTATCTGCAACAGACTTCAGCAGATAATTTTGCTCAACTCACACAATACAACAACTGTTAGCTAACATGACATTAAAAGCGCTTTATACAATACTGGTTGTGTCAAAGCAGCTTTACAGAGTCAAACAGGAAAATAGTTTGTCAATGATGCAAGTAGACAATAACAGAGTCATTTTTCCAGAGTTTGGGCGCTAAATAGGAATCTGCCGCCCGCAGTTGATTTTGATATTCTAGGTATTATCAAATGGCCAGAGTTTTGAGATCGCAGCAGACGTGAAGGACTATAATGCAATATGAGCTCGCTCAAGTACTGAGGAGCTAAACCATTCAGGGCTTTATAAGTAATTAGCACCCTCACCCTCGTGTCGTTCCAAACCCATAAGACCTTCATCATCATCATAAGAAGTTCATCTTCGGAACACAAATTAAGATATTTTTGATGAAATCCGAGAGCTTTCTGATCCTGTATAGACAGCAATGCAACTGAAACGTTCCAACAAGTTTTTTTTCGATTACTTGATTATAGTTTCGAGCCTTATTTTGTGTCTTATGCTAATGTTTTTTTTGTTGTTTGTGTGTTAGAGTGGGGAACATGCTGTTTTCAGTAGAGACTCAGACCACAGATGAGAGGACGCAGCAGTATCAGTCAGAAATTGAAGCACTCTATAAAGATCTCACTGCCAAAGGCAAAACCCTGATGCTCTCCACTGAACTCGGGGTAAGATTAACATCTGTTTGTCTGTCTGTATCTGTTCTTCTCTGAGCATCGATTTCACAATCTCCTCGGTCTCCTGCTGGACCTGTATTGGGACTGCTGGCGTGTGTTCATTAGTCACGTCTCTTGAAGCAAATAAATTCAGCGTCACTTAAACGCAGTCTGTGACCTGTGCCCTCCATAAGTGTTGGAACAGTAAAGGCAAAATTGTGCTGTTTGCTGTGGAGTCAAGAAATCTGTAAATTTGATTTAAAGATGAATATTAGACAAAACTACAGAATGTCACATTTTATTATTGGGTGATTCAACACGGATGTTTTATCAACTAAGAAGAACAGCACTTTCTGAGTTTCATTCCCCAGACTGATGTGAGCATAAGTATGTGGACAGTTGAACTTGAAGCAAATGTATCAAAGAAAACTACTTTATTCAACAATTTTCAGCATCCGCGTAATATTGCGCAGTATTGTGGAATTTTGGAAAACTAATTTATTTATTTATTTTTTATTGTAAATGATAACACGTTGACTGTGTGATGACAAAATTGCTTTGTCTGCTGTGGAGTCAAGACATCTGCAAATATGATTAAAAGATGAATATGAGACAAAATTACAGAATGTCAATTTTTTGTAGCTATTTCAACATAAATTTTTTACCAAATAAAAAGGACAGCACTTTTAGAGTTTCATTCCCCAATCTGATGTGAGAATAAGTATTGGGACAACTGAACTTGAAGCAAATGTAAAAGTTTAAAAGCTAATATTTAGTTGTGAATCCCTTGCATGCAATCACAGCAGCGAGTCTTCGACCCATAGACATCACTAGACTCTTGGTTTTCTTGGTATTTGAAATAGAAAATAGTTTTTAAATTGTAATAAAATTTCACAATATTACTATTTTCAAATAAACATAAAAATAATAAAAATGTTCTTTGTCTGTAGCAATGAAGCATAGCTATTTGTATTTATTTTTTATTTTCATTTGTTTTATTTAATAATTACAAAACAATTCCATGGTTAATGCATTATTGTTAATTTTGTAATAAGGTTCAACACTATTTTACATTGAGTGGATAGTTTTCAAAAATATATATATATACACAAATAAAAAAAAACTATTTTTTTTTTAAAACTATTGGCCAATTAATCTGTAATATCCTCTATTTTGCAGACCTCAAATTTTAATAAATGCATTTGCTAAATCTTTCTGCACTCATTGTACTTCATTGTAAATCAATTCCGATTCCAGAATCAGATACTTAAGGTGAGGAATCGGACACTTATCAAATAAAAATTTCGATTCCGCCTATCGATTCCTATGCGCTTTTTTTCTTTATCTGTGAGAATTGGACCTAGCGATCTGCCAGGACCTTGCTCACTAATCTAAATGCTCCAAAGTTTGGCTACATTTGCGATCAGAAAACAGAAAAGCTAAGTATAATATCTGTGATAGCTAAACATGTTGCAAGAGAGGTGTCACCACCAACATGACAAAGCACTTTAATTTAATAGGTCGTTAAAGATCGCGAACGTGATTCAAACACCAACATGATTCTGTTCCTAAATTATGATTCGTCTGTTTCATTCCTCAAACTTTGACGTGCGAGATCAATGTCATGATCACGTGGTTCGTCCGTGCAGCGTATGATCACACCAGTGTGATTTGAACATTTAAATCCACGTTCGCGCTGCCATTGACCTAAAGAGAGCAGCTGTCTGTCATGAACGAAACAGCTTCACAGTCTTATCAGCCACAGAGTATCATTATTTCTGTTACAAACATTCAAATCACAGAAGTACTGGGATAAAAGTGTATAGTTCAGATATAAACTGTGTGTACGATGTGTATGGTA